CACCGAAATATTTTCTGGCATTAAATGGGGGAGGCTCTGAAAGTTCTCGATATACTGAAGGGGGGGGGGGGCTATAAACTTTTCAACGTTTTGGTCCAGCAGAGGCCTGGAGTGTTAACTCACACCATAGTTATTCTGTAGCCTGCAGGCAGGCTACTGACATTTTGATTTCGCTTTTGCCTGCGGATTTTCGCCACTGATTTTCCCTCGAAGCGCTAATACTTCCGGTATGTTATGATTGGTTAATTTTATTCACTCGTACGTCATACGATTTAGGGGCGGATATTCAAATTCATTAGTCATCGATGCAGGCTCTCATTTCACCTTGAGAGCCTGCTCGCATGGCTACAGAATAGATGGTTTGATAACTTATTAGAATAACAATATAACTCATTACCTATTTTAGGGAACAATAACATTCATAAATCTGGTCTTTTACCGTCACGTGCGTATTGCATTTTTGCCCGACTAACCAATAGCAATGTTTTAGGCAAGTTACCTGTCCATGACTCAAACAATAGGGTAAATTGAAAATTGCTATTGGTGGACATAACAAAAATATAATACACACGTGACGGTGAAGGAATATATTTATGAATAACGTTGACTAACATAGATAATGAGTTATATTGCTATTCTAATGATATCCAAACCATCTATTCTATATTAACTGGCATGGGGGAGCTCCACATGGAATACGTAAAAGAAGGCCGCAACACGCCTGTTAAAATGCATGCAAAAGCACCAATATGCTTCAACTTCTGAAATTTTCATTCTGTTTCTACCAAATTTTCCATGAATATAGATCGTAATCGTATGTTTTTTGTTTTTGGAATTGCTACTTTTTGACGGGTAAATTACGTCACAAACTTGGCGCCAAAAAAATTAAAACAAGCTATTGGTAATTTTACTGAATCGGCATTTAGCAGAGCAGACTAAATGCCCTGTCACACTATTGCGTATCGTACTAGCGTATGCCAGCGTATGAAAAATGTCACTCATACGCCGGTACACGCTGGCATACGCTAGGAGTACGTTAGGCACAGGTTGTATACGTTTCAAGCACGGTCGCGTACGGTGGCATACGCTGGCATACGGCGAGGCAGAAAATCTTTTTTAAACATGCTCAAAAATTTTAATTAAACTACCCTTAAGGCCCTGTCACACTATTGCGTACGAGAGAAACGTATGAGAAGCGTATGGAAATTAATGAAATAATTTTCATACGCACAAAAATCATTTGAAATGCCAGCGTATGAGTACCGTACATCTGGCGTATCTCTAGCGTATTCAACGTGTACCTGGAGTATGCTTATCGTATAAAGCATACGTCCGATACGCACAAAATTTTTGAGCATGTTTAAAAAAGATTTTCTGCCTCGCCGTATGCCAGCGTATGCCACCGTACGCGACCGTGCTTGAAAAGTATACAACCTGTGCCTAACGTACTCCTAGCGTATGCCAGCGTGTACCGGCGTATGAGTGATATTTTTCATACGCTGGCATAATTAAAATTAAAACATTAATAAAAATTTGTTATAACCACCCAGTTCTGTGTCTCAGTGCACAATGGCCCGAACCCCCAAAGGATTCTGGGATACTACACTCCTCCCTTCCCAGTGTCCAATAATCTGAACTACTCTGTATCTAACAAAAATAGAATGTCAACTTTAACTAAATGTCATATTAAATAATGGTTTATAACCAGTTCAACTTAGCTGTTTGCTAGTTCATAGTCCTGCAAATGTTGAGGAAGACGACGGTCTCTATGGGGTTGTCTTCTTTGTTCTGCTCTCGCTTCCAGTTCGGGTTCTTCCCATGGTTCTGCAGGATTCACCTCCCTGGTTGGTAGTTGAATGTCTTCCAATCCACTCGCTATAGTTGTTTGAGGAACATCAGTGCGAATGCGGAGATGATCTTGGTGACGCCGGATAATTAGACCATCATCAAGCTGTACTTCTGCCGACACTGGTCCTGTCTTCTTCACTACCGTCCCGGGCATCCACCTTTTAGGTTTCCTGAAATCTTTCGCATATACTAGGT